TCTCAACAAAGTCATGAGTGCACTGTATATTTTGTCACAGTGAATTTAGTCTCAATGTCTTCAGTAGATAATACAGTAAGTAGTGAAGCTTAAAATGTAAAAATAATAATAAATCAATTTGTACTAATTTAATTTTCAATTCAATTTAAATATAGTACTTCACATCCATATCTTATGAGCAGCAAGAAAAAAGTAGAAAATGTAAACCCTCCCTTTGCTTCTGATAAAATCATAATTCCCCTTTTAAACCACTGTAAAATACTAGTCTCCACCACTACTATTAGCAACTCATTCAACTCCATCCCCATTAGAAAAATAAAACTCTTTTCCAAATCTTAAACTCGTGTTCTCTCACCCCATATCTTCAGAATATAGCCAAAAGAAATCAAGACCCTTTGTCCTATCAAAGCACCAGACTGTCTTGTAAACCTTCATATGATCACTTTTAACCTTTCTTTTCTCAAAAGAAAAGTTAAGAGATCTTGACCAGTTCCTGTAAGATAACCCTTCTACCCCTGGAATCATCTTAGCAGCCCTTCTCCGAACCCTTCCAATAAGTCAATATCCTTTTTTTGCATGAGGAAATTAAAACTGAACACAATATTCCAAGTGAATTTTAAATAGTAACTTGCATAGAAAGATGATTACTACTTTTGAGTTGTCAACATTATGTTGATAAATACACATTAAAATTGCATTACCTTTGCTACTAGCAACAGAGCATTCCTGGAAGGCTTGAGTGACTTATCTTCTACTATGCCAAAATTATTTTCTTCTTTCAAGCTGTTGTTTTGGTTTTGATATATGTTTAACGTGTGATCGAAATTAGGATAATCCACTTACATTATCCTGCACTTACTATAAGTAAATGTCACTTACCAAATATTTGTTCAACTTAACAAGTGACTCAAGGCATTACATAATACCTTAACATCCTCAATATAGCTAGAAATACCAAAGCAATTCATAGAATTAGCAAACTTTACTAATTATACACCTCAATATCATTAATGGACATAAGAAAACCCAACGGCCCAAGCACTAGCCCCTGAGCACTCTTCTGGTAAAAAGGTTCCAATATGACTGAACTCCTCAAATAAGAACATTCAGCTTTCTCCCACCAAATCACTCAATAATCCAGCTAATTAGTCTTTCCCCAACTTTGACATGATTTTATTATTTAATCGTTTGCTTGGCACCTTATCAAAAGCTTTCAAAAATCTCTGTACACCAAATCCACACCCTTTCCAACACCCAAATAACAAGTAACATCCTCAATGAGAGGGATTAATAAAGCAAGATATTCCTTTGGTGAATCCATGTTGCTTTTATTTATATCATATTTCACTAAATGATTTTGAAAAGCTTCTTTTATACAAATACATATAACTTAAGGACAACAAGGGATCTGTTGGTCAATCTAGGCCACTTCATCCATGAAATTTAAAAATTTTAAAAACTCAAAGCCAGCCTTTATCAGTCTCTCTAGAATTTTTTCCCATTACATATTGGTCTATCATTCCCAGAACAAAAAAATAGAAATAACATATTAGCAACTCTAATGATCAGGCATTTGTCCAGTATATGTTGACCTATCAAAAATTAAAGATAGAGGCTTCCATATCTAATCTTTGATCTCCTTTAGAAACCCTAAGGAAAATCTTGTCTGGCCCTGGTGCTTTGTTTTCAATCTCTTGATCTTTCTTCTTAACATCAAGGGATTAATATCTACATGATTCTGGTCAATTCCAATACTTCCCGTAAAATGTTCAGGGTTAGGGGTATTGTTAATATCTTCGCTCGTACACAGAGAACATTTAAAAACTCAGTAATCTGAGTCTTCAACAAAAACATTATCCATCAGCATGTATAGCTGGACAATTAACTCAAATAATCAATATTAGTGTTCCTAATTATTACTATTAGCAATTATTTCTACTATTCAAATCTCACGTGAAAATAATCAGTTTGTTCAACATTTTCCAAAATGTGAGTCACACCTCTCCAGGGAGGCACAAGCGATCTTTTGAGGGGGCATGAACAATTAGAAGAGCCAATAATACAATAATGTAAAATTGAGCATTTTGATATATTTTTTATTAATGAAAATAACAAGTAATGACTACAAATGTATAACATTTGGATGTGTGTATCTATGCATTACATCTCATCACTTATCTCACTCGTTTATTCATTCAAATAAAAAGGAGAGGGAACACACAAGAAAGCATAATTATTAAAGGGGGCATGAATGACAAAAGTATGGGAAATGCTGAATTAGTTGAATTAACAGATTAATGTACACAAAGATCAAACAATCATCAAATTTTACTAATTGCCCGGTTTTATCAGCATCCTTTGACAGCCCACTCTCTATTTTAACATTCTGATTACCTTTACCCTCTTAAAAAAATCCTTTCTCTTAGCTTAATATTATCAGCAAGCTGTCTGTCATAAGTCTTTCCGTATTTCCCAATTTATTTTTTAACTTTTTGATAGTGTCCTTGAAAAGATTTGGTGGGGACTAGGGGGGGGGTGAGAGTAGTAAACTGGAAATGTAGGAGGTTGTATGAGAGAATGTAAAAAGTTATTAATGGAGTCTGGTCAAACTGGACCCTTGTTACTAATAAAATTTCCCAGGGATCAGTGCTTAGACTTTCAATTTCTTCATCTTTACATTAATGATACTTATATACGTATAATCAGTAGACTTTAGATATTGGATACATCTAGCTGCATTGAGAATGAAGAGGTGCTACAATATGATTCAAATCAATTGGTTAGTTAAACAAATATCTGGCAAATTACCTTCAATTACAGAAAGAGCAAGATAATGAATTTTGATTCTAATAATTTGAATCACACTTTTAATATAGATAGGTACCCACTCAATAGGGTGACTGAAGAAAAGAATCTTGGCATCATGGTGAATAAGTCACTCAAGTCTTCAAGGAGAGCTCTGTGGCTAGTAGCAAGGCTAATAGGATTTTAAGGTGTACTTGAATACATACTAATTACAAGTCAAATAGTTACATTTCACTCAGAAGACTGATTTATTGGAAAGGATTCAGAGAATTATTAGGATGATTCTGAGAATGGGTGGGTTATCTTAAATGGTTAGATTAAGATTTCTTATTTGCTCACAAGAAAAGAAGGGTAAAAAGCAAAGACTACAAGATTATTCCGAAATTGATGGAACAGACTTCAAATTTCTTTGTGCTGCATTCGGATAGCAACAGGTTGAGAGGACACAAGTTTAAGATTTAAAAAGAAAAAGACTTCAGGTAAGGCAACTTTTATTTTTCTAAGGACTTGATTAAGATGTTAAAATGTTTTGGGTTCAGAGTCCTCCTGAATTGGCTATTTCAGTAGTAGACCAAAAAAAAGGTAAAATACAACCCAAAGCATAACAGTTAAGTAACAGGCTTATGATTTGGAAGTTTAATATTAAAAACTATTCTTCAACACAATAAAGTTGTGACATAATTTTCCGAATGATGTGGTTTGATCAGTCACTGTACATTTTTGTAAATTTTAATAGATACGCGTAGGTACATATAGGTAAAGGGCCATGCTTGAAAGTTGTATATATATCACCTAATGAACCAATGACCATCTGTCATCTAAGTATTATATTTTGAATGAAAATGGTGTGCATACTCTATACCTCTTTTTTTGTATTCACATTATCAAGACATTTATTTTATATTCAAGCATCAAATTTCTTATTTTCCATTATAACTTCCAATATTCAACTATCACATTTATAAATGGTTAACTTTCTGTGGTAAATACACTTTTAACAATGGATTTCTTTAAATGACAGTATGTTGAAGCTTAATGTACAATAATTATTGTTGAATCTACATGTAATTTAGTAACTTATAATATGTGCATGTTGTGCCTATTATTATTATGGTTTTATTATAATATAAGCTGTTTTAAGCACACTTAATTTAAGCTTAACTCATGCACACTGAAACAGGAAGTGTCATATTCAGGAACAGTGATTTTTAAACTGATTGTTACTGTTGATTTGAACAGTAATGTTACACAAAGACAATATTTTATTTAAAACACTTGCTCTTCAGTACTATTAAATGAATAATGATATTATTGTAAAACACAGCAATCTTATAATAGTTGTTACTGTTAGACATATTTATCTTGAGCCCTAACAGTAACAATGTAACATCATGGGTGCTTGATTATTTAAATATACAACACTTTTATGAATAATATAAAGTTTACAACGTAGCTATAATTTATAATTATATGGTACAGTGCATCTCATGGGTATAATAGTAAACTACAACAACACCTAATTTGGTAAACTAATTAGTATTTTTGATATTTAAAGTAATTAAACAATAATTCAAGTCTAAACGTATTAGTATTACTAATAGTGATACAATTAGGTTATTACTATTAGTATTACCATCCGTGACTTCTACGTTCTACTCTAGTTCTAAGTTATGGCAGATATGAAATGCTATTTTTTTATTTATTTTTTACACACTGTTAATTTGAACTCGAAATCCGCAATAGGATAACTTCAGAAAATGTAAAAATAAACAACATGCAGCCTAGCGCAACTTTCGTCATTTATATTCCAGAAATATTTTTTTTTTTGGTGCTAACAAGTTAAAGGTGTTCAGTTTCTTTGCAAAACCCACGTGTGAAAATAAAATATATGTCGCCATCTTCGTGGAAATACTAATACCAGAGAGTACTACTAGTATTACTTACATTACAAGACATATATATCTAAAAGAACCTTAATTACTTTGTTTACTTACGGTAAGGTTAATTATAACTTAGGAACATTGATAATTCGCTTTTGAAGTAACCTCATTCAACTTCTCAAGTTGTGTTATGTAACACTAACATGTAATTCGATTTACACTTTTAAAACAAGCGCCCATTTTTATGCCAAGCTTCTTAACTCAGCCTCGGGCATTATTTTATAAGCTAAACTGTATTAACTAAAATGATCTTACCTTGAGAGGTAGACAAAAGAACACATGTGAGTACATTGTATATCAACAATATTTTAATATATCCGCTCATTATACAACAAATTTTCACGTCCTCCTACATCCTAAACTCCCCTCACCCACCCTAATTTGAAACTCACTAACATTAACAACGCGCACAACACGAACAGAACTATTTTGTTGCAAAATAGTCCTAGCGTAGTAAGATACTAATAACGCTGATAATACAACTAGTCGTGCCAATTGTATTATATTTAAGAAACACTTTTTTCAGCTTTATTATTCACAAACAAAGTGAAAAAAATGTTTCTAATTATTCATCTTACTACAGGACTTAAGTTTCTCAATTCAAAATAACCATCCCACTAAAAAAATAAGCGCAATACATCTTATATAAAATATAATATTTGTCTGTATCTCATACAGTAAAATTTACTACGTACTCCCTGGCTCATGAACATTTCACTGATTACATCTGGTTAATGGTAAAGTACTATAAGCCCTCTTATAATGTAGTGGGTGTGAGAAGACAGATTTGAATGAACAAATGTTCTTTTTTTGTCCTTATGTTATTTGTTACATAAAATATATTTAGAAGATGATAATCTTCAAGTACTTTGCTAAAGTTGTGGCGAGCAAGTTTCAATGATTGTCGTAGTAAATAGCAGTGGCATAGTGGACTGAAAAAAGTAGGTCAGGCAGAAAGTTCCTAATCTCCATTAATATCATTTCATGATAGGTATTTAGGTTTAGAGAGCGAGAGAGAGAGAAAAAACAACAACACAACAAACACAGATCGACGATTTCTTTTCGCGACACTCGTGGTATAAGGTTTTATTGTAAATAATACATGCGAGAAGTGGGTTGGGGGGGGGGCGGGTTTACGTTTTCGTTATTTCGTTTTCGAC